CGCTAATTTTGAAACCAGTTACAAAATGTCTTATTATATGTAACTAGTTAATATTTACGGAACAAGCAAAGCGATATTTTTTCTAATTTTGACTAGATGATTTATTAAAATTCTGTTTTGTTAAGAAATTACTGTCATCTAGGCAACCATTATTACTACTTTCTTATATTGTTAGTTGCATATGCATCATATTATTGACAAATAGAACATACCTAATAATAATTATTATTTAGTTTATATGGCTTATTAAAGTATTTAATTTTCTAAAAAGTGAGTTATTTTGTCAAGTATTGTTGTTCTAATTATTTTATGCTGATTTAGAATGGAAAATTAGGACCAACACAACATTATTACTAGGTTGTAAGCTTAACCAAGTTCTATTTTTATAAGTTAACCTCCCCTTATTTAATATAAACTTTAAATAATAATGTATATTATTTATTTTAAAAACCGAAAGGGTTTACTTTTATTTGTTTTCTTTTCGCAACCAGTTTCATAATGTTCAACATTATACAACTGGTTGCGTAAAGTTAAAACTTACTGCAATTACAAATAATGTCACTTGATATGTCAAAATTAGGTTATTTAAATAAAATAAGTATTTAAAAAATTATTTACGCAAAGATTTGTATTTTTGAATTTTAATAATATACAGGGCATTCCGTAATGATATTCCAATATTAAACAAGGTGTTCTACCAACCATTTAAGTAGGGGTGGTCTTTTCAAATTTTGAATTTTGGTCCTCTCTGTCGAGATATTTAAATCTCAAAATGATAAAAAAATAGTTTTTATTACAAAATATATATAAAAATAATTTCTGAAAAAAAGTTCATGTCTACAATGTGAAAAAAGTTTTGATGATAGTTTCACAACATAATAATTGTAAACATAATTCACCTAGTTAATATTACTGTAAAAAGGGTTTTACCGTTCCTAAAATACAACCTTTTTTGCTAAAAATATTTGTTAGATGTTTTAATTCTAAAAATACGATATTACTTGAGTTATAATCTAATTTGCTTGCATTTTTATAGTTTTAGTTAAAAAATCCAAAATGAAAACATAAAACTTTTAATATTGTTAGGGATTTAAAAATTAATTGACAAAATACCCTGTAAATTTACAATATTTCGGTACGTTTTATCCTTGTAATTTTACAAGAATAATGTAAAGTTAGATGATAATAGTCGCATTATCATGTAATCTTAAGTAATAAGACTGTTTTTACAATAACTTTTGGTAAAAATATAAAGATATAGGTGACTCACAAATGATTTGTAAATTTACAACATTCCAAAGTTTGCTTCATTCACATTTGTAATCTGACAAAAAATCTGTAAAATAACATAATTGCTATAATTAATAGAAAATAGAAGGATTTTTACAAGAATCTTGTCAAAATAAAAATATATAGGTGAATTTACAATGTAAATATAGATTATTTATACATCCGTTTACAAGTGTATTTTACAAATATTCTGTGAATTTACATCACCTTGTAAGAATGCGTACATATATAGTTATTCGTATATAACATACTTAAGGCTGTTTTAATTTTATTATTCTGATGAGGTAACTACTTGACATCATTATGGAAATGGAAATGTACAATAAAAATTTGATAAAGATAAAGAGACAAATGGTTTTTTACTTTAAAAGTCTGAATCGGAAAAATGGATCAACCAGTTAATTTAATATACTCGATAAGACATTTTACCTAAGAAATGATATGTACATTTAAATAGTTTACCTATATAAAGTTATGTTTGCCTGCAATTATCAATCTTTTATTTTAATGACATTTTTTTATATCCTTGTTTGTATAATTTAGTATTTTCAAAAATATTAGATGTTATGGTAATTTGAATCACTACAGGTATTAAATAAAAATAAGGCTATTGGTAAATTAGTTTACAGTTGGTAATAAAGAATGTCTCAAAAAAAGTCTCGAAATAAATATCAAACATAAATTGTGATTTTAATTAGGCACCTGTGTATCTACATGCTCTGGCTAATCAATCCTATGAGTACATATCAAAATATTATTATACTATCTACAATTAAACAGATGAACCCGATTTACCTATTTAAACAAAATTACTATTATTCTATTATTTATTAAAACACATTATTTTTTAGTGTAAACTTGGACATGCAAAAGCAGCCATGATTGTAGAACATTGGTGAGAGCAAGAATACTTTCGAATGTGCTGTGAAATACACTTAGAAAGGCTCATATGAAGAATTAAGTGTAATAACATTTTACGATATGTATCTCACTAGTTTAGTTTTATGTGTTTAGATTTCTGTGTTCTGTGTTCATTATGTTCTGCTATTTGAAATTTTTAGTATCCTTTGATAAAAGAAGTTGAATATTATTGTTGACCTTTTTAAATTGTTTATTTTACCTCATACATTTTTTTTTTCTACTCTTCATACAGTATTCTGTGAATAGTATTATAGGTTTACTTTGTCTGTCCGTCCGATGTCACGTTTTTTGTCTGCACGATAAGTCAAAAACGAGAAATGATATCAACTTGAAAATTTTAAGCAAAAATCAAGCTCTATAAGGGGACAAAGCCTATTGATTTTTATCAAATCTGATTAAAAATAGGGGGTTAAGATGGGTTGAAATTAAAAAAAAAATCCAAAAATAATAACGAAAAGCGATATCAACATGAAATTTTTAGTAAAAATGAAGCTTTTTAAGAAGATAAAGCCTATTGATACTGAAAAAAATATAAATATATTGGGGAAGGTTAAAATATATAAAAAAAAAACGAAAAATGATATAAACTTGAAATTTTTAGCGAACATCAATCTCTAAAAGGAGAAGAAGCCCTTTAATTATAAAAAAAATCTGATTAAATATGGGGGATTTAAGGGGGTTGAAATTAAAAAAAAAATCAAAAATGAAAAGCGATATCAACATGAAATTTTTTAGTAAAAATCAAGCTCTATAAGAAGTTGAGGCCTGTTGATTGTGAAAACAATCTGGTTGAAAATGGGGGTAAAGTGTAAAGTTAAACTGCGAAGAGTATCATTTAGAATGCCAGGCATTATATATTTTTATTCTAGTTTGTGTCTGTGTAATATTATGTATTGTGATGGGACTGATCTTATAAAATAAGTATTTAAAACATTTTAGTTCTTATTTTATTTGCCAATAAAAGGTATTTAAAAAATATATTTTTTATTTGACATCTGTGACAAATTGTGAAAATGATTAAACTTACAATAAAAACTAAAAAATGGTAAGTAAAGTTTCATATAAAATTTTTTACACAAAAATCAACATAACCTGACATATATTTAAAAATAATCTCAAATTATGAAGAAAAGTCAGTTTATACTAACTAATAATCTTTATAGATGGTTTTTAACGTATTAAAAACAAAACAAATATTATACTAACTAAAATATTCATTTATTAATAGTTGTAGTGCTTGAAAACAGTATAATATTGATGATAATAATAACTGCACTTAATACAACCTCAAATAATAAAAAAAAAACAGCCATATTGACTCTTATACAAAGTTTTGATCCGAACTTACAAATGATAAACTTATTGGAAAAAGTGAACACCCATTTTAAATTACTACCGCCACTGACAATGAGAGCTGTGGTTTTTCAAGATCCTTGTGTATTCGAACCAATCAAAAGTTGCTAGGAGATAAATGTTTACGTTGTATATCATATATTGTACTGTGTGTTTATAATAATGGCTCCAAAGTTTTGTATTGTTGAGTAAATAAAAAACGATTATTATATTATTAATATACAAAATATATTACGTGTTTAAGTGTGAACCTAATTCTTCAAGTAATGTTGAAAATAAAGTCAGTCTTCCGGATGAAATTATTTTTAGCATTTAGAAAAATTAAGTCAAAACTTCATTAGATTTTTGTCTTTACAGCTATGGAATCAAATTTTTTTTATTACTAGTAAAAGTTTGCAAATGTTTAGTAAGTTTAATAAATAATAGGTACTTGAGGTCAAAATTTATTCGGCACAAATTTTATAAAAATAAAAAAATAATATAATTATTGAGAATCTAAAATATCATTGACAAACTCGTCAGCAAATAGTAATTCTGATATCCGCGTTGGATTATTGTTTAAAAATCATATTTTATTTTTTGGAAATTAAGCATGTCCTTCAGATAATCAAGATTTCTTTGAAATTTCTAACCCCATTAAGTTCATAAGTGATAAGTACCTTTATAGTTATTTAATTTAGAATCAAACAATTTTTTTTTTTTGGTTCAGACCAACATAATAAATGAGATGTCATGTTGGAGAAAGAAACTGTCAATAATTCTTGTCTAGTGTCTAGTATATTATAGAGGCTCTGATAATTTTTATTTTTTATGTTAAGAAGAAAATTATTTATTGTTTGACATATAAAAAAAATATAAAATATGTGTGTCATGTACCTATAGTTTTTATACACCTATCTATCTTACATTGTCTATTCTAGAGTATAGAGTGATCTAAATAGGTAGATACTATACTTTTTGGATCACACTGTATATTTTACGGGATAATACGTTGTAAAATACAAATAAATCGAGGTAAAATCGCAATTCGAATACTTTACAGGGAAATATCTAAATTTTAAATAAATCACAAAATAAAACCGCAAACTTTTCAAATAAATATACAGGTTAAATTACACACATGGTTGTAATGTTACATTAAACAACTACTTGCAGGTGTAAAAATGCAGTTTTTAATAATTATTACAAGTTAATTTTGAACTTTAAAGTAACCAATGTGTTTTTTAATTAATTAATTCGTTTCTACAGTCGCCAATGTAATTTTACAACGTTTCAATGTAAATATTACTCTAAAGCGACTGTAAAATTACAGTCAAAATCAGTGACCATAAATAAACAATGTGTAATTTCAAAATTCAGTTTTTTCAGTGTATCGTGCAAAAAAACGAATAGTTAGGTATATTTTTTCTGCGTGTATAAATTAAAAAAATTCTTACCTAGAGGAGAAAGCGTATCCGGCGGATCCCGATCTCTGCACCTAGCAGTTCTAGCTCGTCCATGGCGCGACATTATAGCCGCTATACTAAAGTCTGTAGCGCAAGGTCTCATCGTACAATTCTCCTCCATTATCACCGTACCCGACACATTTTATCACAGAAAAAATAAACGCACACAGATATACGAAAACCCTACCAAAAACCCGACGAAAGCTCGACAATTTCCTCTAGGTGACAATCGAAAATTACGTTCCGCGTCATTTTTAGCGAAACACGGCGCGGCGCTAACCTAAAGCTTTCACTAGGTGTGAAGTATTTAACCACAGAAGCAAGCTGTTTTGACAGAATGAATATTTAGATCCCTTTGGTTCACATTTAACCAGATTACTTTGATATGCAGCGAAAGCTCTCAGATTGGTCGGCTCCCACCTCGGTAGGCGTAGCCTACAGGCCGCGTAATTGATAGCGTTCTTTTGTTGTCCTAAGGCTACTTCTCGCGACGCTGTTGAACGTCAACTGACCACTCCGTCGAGACGTTATTAGAGGAATGTGCCATTTTTTGGGCAAATTTTCCCCCTCTGTCGGTGCCGATGACACGTTAGCTTTTTGTTTTAGCCCCCTGCACGCCGCGGCTACCTGGGCGGTGTTTTAATACACAGACTGCGATCATAGGCGGTGCCACGGTTACTTACAGGAGGGTTAATCTTTTCAAAGCGCATATGACCGCAAAAATGACTTTATTACTTGTTTCTTATACTTAAGTCTATTTGGAATCTACCTATTTGTTTACCAACCAAAAATTTAAAGATATTGGGAACTATTATTAAATAATAATACAATTTGCTAGTGGTTTTTGATTTTCTTGAGAATTAGGTGTTAAAATTAATAAAAGTATAGCTTTCTTTTAATGTTTTTTATACGTTTAGTACCATATTAATAATATTTTATTATATTTTACAAATGTTTGAATATATGCAATTTAAATAAATAAATCACAATTATTATAAAGGTATTACTTTTTGAAGTGTTTTACAGTTTAGATATTTATATCTTATTTAACAGAAAATGAGAACATTTCCAATACCTATGATATTAATTGCTTAAAGGTGTGTTTGGTCAGCCTGATTTAATTAACAAGCATTAATATATTTATTAACACAAAAGTTAAATTTAATATTATCCTATAGAAATAAACATAGAAATGATAAATAAAATCCATGTTTATGCTTATGTTTATGTCAAAAATAGAATAGTGCATGTATACACGGAAAAAAAATTGTAGAACAAATTTCTACAATTATGAACTTTTTCTCTACAATAAATAGTACAAATAGGGACAGGGACAATTTGTAGTAAAAATAACCACATGTAATATAAGAATTATTCTACAAAACGTTATAATTTTTGCTATTCATTGTATGAATTTATAATAAAAATGTGTTGAGTTTCATGAAAATTAATACGAAAATTTTACACAACAAATAGTAAAAATTCAAACAAATTGTAGTAATTTTTAATAAAATTTGTAATAGTATTTCACAATTATTACAATTATTATAACCTAGAAAAAATATTTAAAATTGATTGTTTTAATAAAAAAGATACAAAGTTTTAATTACATTATGTAATAAATAACAGTAATAATAGCTCCCTCAGTCGCAGTTGGTTTTACTGCACCTGAAAAATATGAAATGAAAATTAATACCTATTGAATTGCTCATACGCATAAAACGGGGATATCTATAAGCTTTACAGTGATTGGGATATTAAATGACCACGTTGGAGAACTAAAAAAAATGAGAAAGTAGGTATGTCACAATTAAATCAAAAAAAACATCATCGAACTTGGCACAACATTCGATCGTTGGCCATAACTATTTTTATTAAAATAATCTACTAATGTTATTTGAATTAGTTATCTTAAGGTAAATTATTTAGAAACAATAATATACTTATCACTTATAGAAGTTATTATTAATTTTTTTTTATAATTTTTTATAATATAATAATGTGTTATAGGTATATGTACCATGCTTTGTTTTGTGAACATGGCGAACGACTACTGCTGTCTGACCATTTATGGTCAACGTCACAAAATGTTGGCCAATAGCAGAATTCTGTTTTATTCACATGACTTAGAATTTCTACAATATTGTTACACTGGTTTTTGGTATCACAATTTATTTGAACTCAACTTTTACAATCACTCAATTCAACTGACACAATAACGATACATGGTGTCGGGACGGTGGTGTAGCGGTCTATCGCGCTTATATTCATTTATAGGCAAGTTTATGACTCTGAGACTGCTGGGTTTCGAATCCCAGACCAGACCATGTGGATTTTTAATTAAATTTCATGGTTCGGTTTAGGATTTGATGTGTGGCGTATTAATAGAAATTCAATTTCTGTTGATATGACATGCAGATTAAAAAAAATCGCCATACATAACCATCTCGATGATGGTGGGTGAGGTTTTCCGGGTTTTCCTCACCTGTAAGTCAAATGGCACCATCAATCATCTTTAAGTCGCCCCGGAGCGCCACGGCAAATAATAATAATAGCCGTCCCTTCCCCTACACAAGTCGTTCAGTCGACTTCAGGGGTTGAAATTCACTCGTAAGGGGGTGAATTAGGGAGAGTATTATTATATTATTATTATTACATGTAACGTCTATCATAAAACTGAACTCTGACGTCAGGTCGTCGCCTTATATAGCTTGCTTCGACCTTCTAGAACGTTCTCGAACAATCTGGACTTTTCTTTGACAAGGAATATTTACTCGTACCTTTACTTATGATGACCGCAGCACGCTACAGGGTGCTGCGTAACAATATTATAGAATATTTTTCAACAAAATTGAATTTTTATCATAAGAAGGGATGTAAAGTATTACTACTTTTTGTAGAGAAAATTACTATTTTTTGTAGAGATAATTATTAATATTTGTACAAATTTTAACAAAAGTTAGTAGTAGTAATTACGATAAATGTAATAAATGTCTACTTCTACAAACAATAGTAAAATATACTAAACATTGTGGTCTTCTTTCCTATTGTTGTAGCATTTTATTCAACAATTCATTTGCTACAATAATGAATAGTTTTTAACTATAAATTATAGTAAAATTTTCTACAAAAAGTTAAGTATTTTTCTACAAGTCTGCTATTACAATATTGTAGTAAAATTTTCTAGTCACATTTTTTTCCGTGTATGACTAGACCTACAGACAATTTAAAAATATGTGATAAAGTAATTGATCTAACTTTAAAGCATCGAACTTCTAAACTCCTTTTCTAGTTTTTTTTACTATATTAGTAATTGTTAAAGTTAGTAGAGCAACTTCAGAAGCACCTACATATCTTTTTTCATTTTTAATTTTAATTTTATATCAAATATTTAAATTTTCTATAAGCAGTTTTGTTTTCAAATACCTAAATCACTGTTTATGCTTATTTATATGTTAACGCTTATTATGTCATATACCAGGCGCGGCTCGTCCATGAGAGTATATGCGCATGTGTACACCCAAAAAATGTTGTAAATAAGTTTTCAACCAATAAAAACAGAAGAATGGACTTTACTCATAAGCAATAAAGTCCATTGAAGTCAATTCTTTTGTTTTATTGGTTGAACACCTATTTACAACGTATTTACATTTTTCTGGGGAAGCACGTGCGCATATGCTCCTATGAATGATCTGCACCTGGTTACATACCGACTAACGATGATATGGCCATATTAATATTTCATTTATTTATAACTCTTATAAGTATCATAAAGTGTTGTCAGTCACTTTAATAAGTGACCAATATGACCGAAAAAGTGGCCACTCCCACTCCACGCGCCTATTATTCTAACATTAGAAATTTATTAACAGTGACTAAAAAGTAAAAAAAAAATCAAAATAAATTTGAAGATTACATAAAATGAAGAGTAGTTCTTTCTGCTAGCTTAATTCTTTTATGTGTCCAAGGAGAGTAGTGTTGGGCCCTTAGACAGAACTTAATAAAACAATTTCTTGTCTGACAGTTACTTAATTTCTGAGGTTAAGAGTAAATATGAATGAAAAAAAATACTAAAATACCACGCCGTTATAATGATAATTATTAAGTTATACCTGCAATCTATAATGCCTGAGAATATGTAAGGTGAGGTCCTCGAATAGTACTATTCGTTACGAAACGTATTTATACCATGTGAGTACTAATCCAATCAACAAAATAGGCTTTCGTAGCTATAAAAATCTAACGAAATATCTCTTATCGTGCATAAGAATTGTCTACTATGATAAATATTTGTTGCCGGTTTGAGGTTAGGTCGAAACCTCGAGGTAAATGGGGGCCTTTAATGAAAAGGAATGATCTTACTAGTGATCTAGATGACCAGACGTCCTGTGTAGCTTGCTGTACTTTAGGTCCCAAGGAAGGTCTCACAAGGGTAAGCAGCAAATAATCCTTAACCAGTAGGGGATTGGTCCTGGGATAATCAGTCTCGATGTAATCCTTCTGCCTTGCATACAGATTCCGAACTGGTACCAGCAAGTGTAGTAGGAGGTACGATAAGCTAGCTATATAGCAAAAGTGTAGATAGCTTGAAAAAGAGAAGGAAGAGCCGAAAAGTTGTAAAAAGTTACTAGGAAAGTTCCCAGATACTTAAAATAAGGTCTGAAAGAAGGATTTGCATAAGCCACACATATAAATAGCCTTTTAAACTATAGGTAAGCCAAGAAAGTTGTCTTATTTAATTTTAGAGACTCACCTGGAGCTGTCGGATGGCCTTTCTAGTTGTAAACTAAATCAAAATATATTTAAAACCACCAAACAGTGTTTTAAATTACAACGATTAATTTGGTATATTATTGATTCGTTTAACAGTTTCAGCTCAACGTTCAGATCCTAGAATTACTAGAACATATGGCATATGTTGCCACAAAGCTGAGCTTATCAAAACTGACCAAAGGACGTTCCCCAAAATGGTAGAAAAACCATATAAATCAATGGAAGGTCTTGAATATTAAAGGTTAGCAGGACAAAGTTTGGTAAGAGTGTGACCTTACTTGTTAAAAGAAGAATTTGACACTTGTGGATGTCATAAAATAAATGTAAACAAATAATAAAATGTACTTA